TCACCGAGGCTGCCTTGGCCAACCTCACCGACCTGCAGCTGAGCAATGTTTCACTCTTCTACTTTGACGATGAGGTCAACAGCGCCGAGAAGCGAGCTCTCTATGAGCCCAAGTGCAAGGTCCTACCCGGCGATGCTGCTTGGCCCAGCAATGCGCTCTGGAAGATCTTTGACATTCTCACCGGCGGCGCCCTGATCAAGACCGTGCCTCTCGGTGCGGCCTGCTACCAGGGCGAGCACTATGATTCAGCCAAGTGTACCTATCTACTGAACAACTGGAACCGCTCCTATGCTCAGTGAGTATCATCGCGCAGCTCAAGTTGATAGCGCAAGCAGCTAACATATGCTTCCAGTGTTGATGACCCTACCTCGGTCATGTCTCCCCTCTATGAGAACGCCACCTGCCAGCCTGCCGATGCTGCTCGTGGAAAGGAGTGCACCATTGGCGGATACTCCGAGTACTCCGTCAACGTCACCTCCGTCTCCCAGATCCAGCTGGGCATCAACTTTGCTCGCGCGCTTAACCTTCGCCTTGTTGTTCACAACACTGGCCATGACTTCCTCGGCAAGAACACTGGACGAGGTGCTCTGTCTCTCTGGACCCATCACCTGCGTGACATCAAGCTCATCAAGAACTACAAGTCGGCTGGTGGCCGCTACACCGGGCCTGCTTTCAAGCTGGGTGCTGGTGTCATGGTCTACGAGCTGTACGAGGCTGCTGAGCGTGAGGGATACCTTGCTGTTGGTGGCGAGTGCCGTGTAAGTTTGCTTCTCGCCATAGCTAGATTTCATTTGACTGACAAACAATCAATAGACTGTGGGTGTCTCTGGCGGTTACCTCGCCGGCGGTGGCCACTCTCCCGTCTCCTCCATTCACGGTCTCGGCTCCGACCAGGTTCTCAGCGTCGAGCTCGTCACTCCCGATGGACGCTTCATCACTGCTGATGAGACTCAGAACTCGGACCTGTTCTGGGCCATCCGCGGTGGTGGTGGTGCCACCTGGGGCGTCGTCACCTCCATGACTGTTAAGGTTCATGAGAAGAAGGTCATGTCCGGCATGACCTGGGACACCACCACCGTCGCCCTGAACATTACTGACGACCAGTTCTGGCGCGCCATCGAGGCCTACTGGTCCCGCTACTCCGAGTATCTCGATGCCAACAGTTACGGATACTGCCGCATGTCAAAGCTCGCTACCGGTGGCTACGCCTGGCGCGCCCTCCCCTGGATGGTCCCCGGCATGAAGCTCGTCGACTTCAAGAAGCTCGTCCAGCCTCTCCTCGACGAGTGGGCCGCTATCGGCGTTGACCCCAAGCCCCAGTTCTTCGAGCACGAGAGCTTCTACGACGCCTGGACCAACCACTTCCCCATCGAGAGGACCGGTAACCCCTACGCCCGTACCGCGAACCGTCTCCTGCCCCGCGAGAACTGGGAGGAGCCCGAGATCCGCAACAAGACCATCCAGACCATCCGCTCCGTCGTCGAGGAGGGCGCCTTCCTGGTCCACTACAACATGAAGGCCGACGTGCAGCCAAACACGGCCGACAGCGCTGCCAACCCTGCCTGGCGCGACCTGATGATGTTCATCATCATCGGCGTCACCTGGGACGAGAACACTACCCAGGACCAGGTCGACGTTTTCAACAACAAGCTCACCAACGATCTCAACAAGCGCATCATCGACATCAGCCCCAACGGCGGAGGTTACCTCAACGAGGGCGATGTTATGGACCCCAACTTCCAGAAGTCCTTCTACGGAGACCACTACGAGCGTCTGCTCCAGATCAAGAAGAAGGTCGACCCTCGGGACGTGTTCTGGGCCCCTACCGCTGTCGGCAGTGAGGGTTGGTACATCACTGACCAGAACAAGTATGTTACCAAGCAGACTGGTCGTCTTTGCCCTCGCCAGTGATTTGGTCGGATAGAATAGTTTTATAGTGTATCTTAGTGTATAAAGCTTTCTCCGAAAGCAAAGATTTTTATTATAATAATTCAGCCATCACCTTATCTTTCAGTACGTGTCCGTGCCAGAAATAACCGCTCTATGAGCTTAGATTGCATTTGGGAGGATTCCGTCACCGCGTCAGCTTATCTCATCTCCGGTGGAAATATGGCACCTTGTTGAGGACAAGACGCTAAAATCAACATCCGTCCTTGTAACCGGACAGGAGACAAGCTAACCAGGGCGTATCGAAGCAACATGCCGGCATTAGGCAGCCAAGTAACCTCAGTTGTTGCCAGGTGTTCGTTTGACAGGAGACGATCTCCGCGACAGGAGCACCGCGGAGAGTCAGCTGGCAAGGACCAACCTGTGACTCCGGTGGCAGCTGACCTCACGATACCATGTCGCCATATTGTGAGCGTCGGTCAGGTTACATCCAATGCTGTTCAACCCACCTCACTGAGTCAAGGTTGAAACGAGCGAGACGTTTTACGAACTCAGCAAGGTCGCATTTAGTTGCTTGTCTGGGTTCGCCACAGCCCGTCTCACGCTGCCGGAAGCCAACTTTGCTTCTCCCGCGGCTGCCGATGTGACATTGTTGGGGGCCCTACCCGGTCCCTACGCAGGCAAGGTAGGATGCCCCCTTCATCCCTGCAACCATGGTCTTGGGTCAAGATGAAACTTGACGGGCAACGGCGCACCCTATCACGGGGCCTCTGGTTCCCCAGCCATCGGTCGAGCTAGTCGAGGCTATTCGATCGACCAATGACTTGCCTCCGGTTACTTAACTTCCTCGCAGCGGCGAAGCGAGCGAGCGATGGGTGATTGTCCCAAGGATTCGCGTTCCTGCCATCGGGGAAGCTAGGGTTCGTCGTAAAACTACCTGCAAAGAGAAGGTCTGCAGCAGACTGTGTCACCGCCAGCGGGCGCGATGCCGATACCCGGAGCCAGGGGCCAGGATTTCCATCTTCTTCACGCTTCTTTTCTCAAGAGATGTTCTCTCTCCCCTTTGACGCAGGCAGGCCGCGCAGCAATCTGCGGGAATTAATGGCCTTTGGTTGTCAGCGGACATGCAGCCCCAACCGTCATTCTCTGCGGCCCGCGGACTTGGCCGGGACTAGGGACGCAAATAGAAGGGCCCTGGTCATGTTTGCTTTTTATTAATTAAAGGTGCAGAGACTGGTTCGCCGATAACGTGCCGGTGGGCTGGAGACCTTCTGTAGTCGGTTCACAACCATGAATGTCATCAGCAATTTAATCTCACTTTTTTATCTGGGTACGTCATTCCAAAACTCCCACCCAGAGACTGAGACTGAGAGAAGAGTCATGATGAATGCAAAACTGTCTCAGAGGAAACGTAGCACCAAATGTTCCTTCCATCCGTGCCGTCCTCACCCAGCCCATCCCCCGTCACGGGGGTCTATGAATACCGCAATGATCTGCCAATTCGTGGGGTCAGGGTCCTGTAATGTTAAAAAAAAACTTGTCAAGTTGTCAAGCGGAGAGGGGTTACACTGCCACCCACGGCATTGAGCCTGGAGCCAGGTAAAAATTCCCACCCAAACCCTTGCCCACCGTCCCAAACACATACCTGAACCAACGGCCCGTGGCCCTCGATCTGCAGCAGGCCCACGGCGCTGACGTGCCCGTGGATAAGCTCTCCGACTCCCGGAGGACAGGCCAGCAGCTTTGACGGGAGCAAGTGCCAGCAGGCGGCGCTGCCGAAGCCAACACTGCCTCGATCGAGGGCATCGCACGTCAGAGCTTCATACGGGGGAGCAAATGAGAGTTTGACAAATCGACGGCACCCGTTTAGTTGACAAGCCCCGCCTCGGGTATTTGAGGATCGCTGGCCCAAGCACCGGATGCGGCAGCCACTGAGATACGGGAGATGGTGGTGCTCCTTGGAAAGGGGTGTGGTGCATACCAACATACCCAGCACTCGGCATTCCTGTCTCGGCGCGCGCTTCGAGCAGTTTCCACTCAGGTGAAGAGGGGACAGACGGGCGAGGGATCGAGCTAGAGAGAAAGCATGATTTTAGTTCGCACCTGATGAGCAGGGATGCCGCGCAGACAGCACCGAGGAGACAACAAGAGAGTCTGTCACGTCACGGTGCAAGAACAATGACCAGGGGGAACGATAACCGGCCTCTTGCTGCGAGCTTGACTTCAGTCGCTACAGGTAGGCTACTATCCCGGTTATGATAAGCATCTGTCCCGGCCTGGTTACATACGGGCGTCAATTTCGCTGGGTTTGATCGACATTTACCCGACTATGGGTTGGCTGCTTCTCCCCCCCGCCTCGGTGATCTTGCAACTCCAGCCCAATCAGTGCCAGAGCACTTTGGTCTCACTCTGCCACCGATATACCGCATTAGCCCTCTTCTCCCCGCAGTGTCACAGGTGTCTGCAACCCCACCATGACCATGACCAAGGCTCGCGCCGTCGCCCTCGCCTTCGGCAGTCTCACGTTAACGCCAACAAGTCCGTCCATCATCCATGTGTCTAGGGCTAGGGCGGAAATACCCACGTACGTGTTCGTGCTCGCTCGCAGGGGATGACAAGGACAGCAGGGGAGGGGTCGCGGAAGTCGAAGCCCAAGCCGTAATTATGGCGATGATGGGGGTGGCCCCGGTGGTTCTCGGGGTCGGGTTCCAGCCAAAGACCTCGACCATCTCCATCCATTCAACCACTCAGGACACTCACCCACGTTCAGACGGAGCGAGGGACGGCTCACTAGCGTCGGCCGCTTAGCGGTGAAGGATCATCAGAGTCGCACGATCCAGGGCTTCAGCTCGCCAAGAATCCCAAACCCTGGACGACGAGGTGGCAACGCCATACCGCAAACGGGCAACGACCGTTCCATGTCGCACGGCCAGGCGCAAATATGTATGAACCACCGATCCATCTCCGCTCCATCGCAGACATTCTTATTCAAATGTGCGTCCTGACAACCGACTGGTCTCGCAAGTCCGTCCATCCCACTCTCACCACCGACTTCACCCATCACCACACACGGCCCAACGACGGCGACGTAGCGCGCATCGAAGACGCCCGCAATGCCCCAGCAAAAGATTGCCACAGGCGGCAGAGTCGAGTTCGACGACCCCTTCCTGGATGACATCATTCTCGTCGACCAGCTCGGCCCAGAGATCTGGACAGACGGCATCTGCATCAGACCGTCTGGGCATGCCTTGGCAGCAGTCATCGAGTCTCCACATCTCTACTCCATCGACCTGCGGTTCAACCCCGAGGACCCTTTCTCGAGAGGAAAGCCGCCAAAGATCGTACAAGTCTTCCCCGATTGCACCACGGCAGTCAACGTCACGCGCCTACGCAACTCAGAAAGCGAGGACTATGCCGTAGTAACAGCCCACGTCGATGTACCGAATAAAGCAATCAAGGACGTGTGCATCTATCGTGTATCGTTTGGCCCGGATGGCCAGGACGACCCCCCAGCCCTCAGCAAAATCGCCATGCTGCCCGACGTCATCTTCGGGTTCGGCATGATCCAGCTATCAGACGATGTCCTCCTCGTCGCCGACACAACGAAAGGCACCATCTGGCGCGTACAAATCTCCACCGGGGAGCCCAGCATCCTATACCACGACCCCGACACCACGCTGCCCCTCAACGGCGAGGCCTTTTGCATGAACCGAATCCAGGTGGCCGCCGGGTTCCTGTGGTACACCAACACGACCCAGGCCAGGTTGTACCGCGTCCCCATCGAGTACATCAACGACGGGGCGGACATCAAGGTGACGGGGACGCCGACCATCGTGGCCGAGGGCTGCGCGCACAACGACGGCATGGTGGTCACCAAGGACGGCAGAATGGCCTACCTGAGCAGCTATGTCCTGGGCAACCTGTGGCGCGTCGACGTCGACCCCGAGACGGGCGTGGGCGAGGTCAACTCCCTCGTCGACCTCGTCTCCCCCACCGCCATGCAGCTCGTCTACCACCCCGACGACGAGAAGCCCACGCTGTACGTCGCCTCCTGCGGCGCCTGGACCGAGGAGCAGCTCGCCGGCGAGCGCGGCAAGTGGCTCGCGCTCACGAACGCGGACACGTCCAAGCTGAAGATCCGAGTGCATATCACGGTCGAGACGACGGTCCACTACGAGACCATTGCATAGCCCTGAGCAGCGAGGAGGAGGGCGTGCTTTTCCTTTCAGAGCGTTGATAGAGCATTGTTAGGCGCACATGGAGTGCGCGGGTATGGGAACCATGCGTCGCGTCCCTTTTTGTTTTCTTGGATTAATAAAAGGCAACGGGCAGTCGTGATTTACCTGGTTTTGTCGCTAGATTTTTGTGTGCATAGAGTCCATGTCCGAGCTGTGGAAACGCAAATACCCTGGAGAGAGATACGCATTGCGAATGATCCTAATATTTATCCTACATTTCGATTCCTCGCGCTTAGTCTGAACTGGTGAATGATGAACTTCGGCCTGGAGCCAGCACGCAAAATAATATTATAACTATTTGTTTCTTGGTTGCCGCAATCTGTCAATCGACGTGTGAAGGCGTCCAGGGTAAGCAAGTTGGTGACAGGCGGCAAGTTCCGTGTGGAATCAAGCCCAAAAAAAGCCTCAAACGAGGCCACCAAAATTACAAAAATAGATGGTCACTACCAGGATCGAACTGGCGACGTCCGCATTACTAGGATATCGGATAGATATATTAGTACGGCACTCTAACCAACTGAGTTAAGCGACCATGGCAAAAGAAGCGCAATTGATGAATATATCGAAACACTTTTTTGAAAATGCCGGTTGTTGACTGTCGAATTGCCCGCGGGGCGGTCTGAGCAGTACGAATGAGAATAAATATCATTTACTTAGCTTCCAAAGCTCGAGAAAGACATTTGCAGTGCGCTTTATTATTTTGGCGATAATATAGTTGGAAATTAAATCCACGGCCAAAAATTGAAGGACTCAAACCGTCAAAGTCACTACTTGCTCGCTTTCATCCTCACAAGTCGTTTCTTAAATCGTACCTAAGGATTGCGTAAACTGGCTTATATTAGCCTAGAATGGCCTTATTAAATTGCTTCAATGTTATTGAGTCGTTATATGACAAGGCGCGTTAGAAATCTTTCAATGACTGTCTCCTGTAGGGTAGGTGGGACTCGGGTGTAGAAGACCGCCCTGTGTTCTTAGCTACCCTACAGACTTACACCAAGCAAATTAGAGAGAATGAAACGTAGGCTAGCAAAGAGAAAAAATCCTAATATTAGACATGCGTTCTCGATGAGTCCTCAGCTATATTCACACTATACATCATCGAGAAAGGGCACTTGGACATGAATGTGGCCTCTGCAGTGGCATCTCCGCGGTCAGCTCCATAGCATCAAGGAGGGGAACTCTCGACGTATGCTGCCATAAGATTCAATTTTGATTCAATAAAGGGTTGTGGATGGAAATGTTTTTTATTTGTTTGATCTGCACGTGGATCAAATTGTTGCGCTATCTGGCTGCGTAACGGATACGGTCGACTTCCATACTGGAATCTTCAATGTATGGGTGTTCTAAACATGAGCTACCTCGGTACTATAGCAACTAGTCAGCATGGTCATGGAAATATTTACGTTCCAAAAAAACACGATGGCCAGGAATGTTGCGACCCTCGCCAGTGACCAACCTTGCCAGCTCGTTCGGGACTTGGCTAAGGGTAAGCATTGGGCAGCCACTTGTGACAAACCGGCCCTACTCGGGGAAAATAAACCCGTAACGGCATGTACCCCAGTTTCCGTCACTATATGCTTCCGTGTGACTTTGATGGATGACATGAACCAATGGGTTGGGACCCAGCGGCTGGAAGAATCTGGGGTCATCCACCTTTTCGCCCGACGTGCTGTATTGACTTGGGATGCTGGATCCAATAGCAAAGAGGGACAAATGGGTTGGATGGTCTAGAATATAAGCGATGGGGGGGAGAGCATGCTGGAAGTGTGTGGTCGGGGATGTCGCTTAACGCAACCCGATAATCATGGCAAGCTGTATTCTCGGGTCGGGGAGAATTCGCTGAATATCCCAAGAATGGCAATGGGGGAAAGTGAGAACGCGGCTGTATTTATCAACACAGTGAAATGGGCCGAAGACAAGCAAATTTCATCAACTGATGGCGGTTTCTGACGGCACTGTGCTCCACCTCGTGCTCTTATTTGACACGCGCTTGCGTGACATCCCGGCGCCTACGAGCAAATCGAGGATGGGGATGAGGATGGCCGTCTGGTCCCTGCCCCGCACGGATGGCCTCTGATCCAGATCAAATCTTGCTCCATACTATGCTCTCTTTGTTGCTTTGCAGCAGAGCCTCCTTTTTTAAGTTGCAGCATGACACAGGTTGTGTTAAGTGGACCAAGCTGTCCCGTGATCTTACCTTTCATCAACCTCCGAAGAGTGGTCCTAGGAGAAGAAGGTATGGCCGGATTCTGAAAACATAATTCAGTACTTTACCCCGTAATTTTCACTTAAAGACCTCTGCCTCGGGTGTAATCGCATTGATGTTGAGAAGGTGTTGACATAAGGAGGTGGGTTGACCAGACGGCCACCATGGAAAGCTCACCTGGAGCTAGCAACTCAAGGTTTGGTAAGGGCAAAGCCTTAAACGGAGATAAGTCCACCGGGGAAACCTACCAACCTTACTTCCCGATCAAGACAAGCTGATTCCAGCCGTCAGATCGAAGCAGAGCCAGGGGGCGGACTGGCATCTTCCGACGGCGTGGGCTGACTCCTCATCTGCTACCTTGAATCCCACGGGGTCGGGCCACACATTTTAATATCCGGTTATGATGGATCTCACAGTAAGCTTGGAATGGCGGGTTCTAGTCGGTGGTAAAGAGGAGCGTAAACATTACATACAGAATTTGCTCGACAAGGTAGACCGCCGAAGGTTTTCTCACTGTAAGAAACGGCCAAATGAGGCTCCCACTCCGACAGCCCTGGCCAGTCTACGTTTGCTCCGTTGGGAGCCCCAGTTGATGACCACCTGGTCTCCGCCCCGCATCCTGTAGAAACCCTCTCTACGTCTGTCACCTGATCCCTCTTGGGTTCGTTCTCAAGTGATTAGGCAGAGTTTTCTGCTGTTTTAGCATGGCCAATTGAGCGACGAGAAAGGCCACGCTGGGCTTTCGTGTGGCGAAGAAAGCCGACAAGTCATAATATGACATGTTGCCAACAGGTATGGACAAGTCAGTACTCAGTGTTGCTACTGAAAGTCCTAGCCATTGTGCAAAAGTACTGAAGTTATGTTACACAGGTAGTTGGACCCTGACGCCAGGAGCATTACTGAGTCTGATCGCCCGTCCCCAGCTTTATGCGCCCGCGCTTCCCCGAAAGTAGTTGAATAGAGCATCCATCGTCAATCAATATACATGTAGCAGGCCAATAAGCTCCAAGAAGATCAATCCTGTTGACTGGGCGTTTTAAAGTTGAGTGGTCGCCGAATGGGGGATACTGACATTTGCGGAGTTGGCGGAATATCCCCCGCATCCTCTCCCACATTGTTCCGAGAACATAATTTGGCCACGGTGTGCTGGATATTCTAACCGGCCCTATTGCTGATCAAACTGGTAAGAAGCTCAGCAACCTTCATTTCAACCTATTGTGACCTTAGTCCTTGATCAACAAATTCTAAACCCAACCGGGAGATAGCACCCCCTTTCTAGCATGGCGTTTCTCTCGTTTGGCTCCATGTTCTCGGTCAGTAGGGGTTAGTTTGGTAAGACTGACTTTGTTCGCTCCCCAGCCTTCATAAACACCCGCTTAACATTTACCCGGGCCGTATAACCGGCCCTTAGACTGACTTCTGCGGCCCTCTTAGCCGCCCCTCGGCCCCTTGGCAATTCTCGTAACCACACCCTGGCTCCTCATCTGGGGTTACCCACAAATTAGCTTCCAGGACACATCCCCCCGGACTCGAATTGGCATCCGGATGGAACATCGTTGCTTGCCACTTGCTGAGACTGTGAGAAGGTCTGTCACACACCACGTGAACCCCCACCCTCGCTGCCTCTGAGCTTGGGAGGTAATGGTTTGTAAGGTGGGGAATATGTATCTTTCCTCCTGGTTGCACGTTTCTACAGGGGGTCATTATAACCGCAAAAGACGTCCCCGCGGAATTGGCCTTTTGAGTGGTCGGCGTATATATCCCAGCGGCGATGCCACCTACTTAAACCCCCTCTAAGAATTTCCTCACCGACTCCCGAGCTTGGTATCTCTCGCATATCAACTCCCAGAGAGAGAGATCTCTGTCTACTTTGGGACCTCGTGCTTCTTCACTTTGCCAGCAAGCTTTTCGTCCAGTAACCGCCACGATGGTCAACGTCGGCACGGCAGCCGACCCCATCGTCACCCGCCTCGTCGAAGAGGACAAGGTGCCATGGTACAAGAAACGCAACCTGCGCCTCATGTACGTGTGGCTGTTTCTGTGCTGCATGGGCGTTGAGATGACCTCTGGTTTCGACTCTCAGCTCATCAACACGTTGCAATTCGCACAGACTTTCCACAAGTGTACGAACAACCCGCTGCCCTCTTGCTGAGCATTGATTGACAGATTCTCTTCTCTCTAGACCTCGGGGGTGGTCGTCAGATAACTAATAGTGAGGGCAAGCTCGAATACGCCATCGAGCCCGGCATGCTCGGTTTCGTCAACTCGTCCTACCAGCTCGGTTCCATTTTTGCCGTACCAATCGCCCCATGGTTCGCCCAACGATACGGACGCCGGTGGTCCATTATGCTGGGATCGCTCATCATGATTTTTGGCTCTCTCCTCCAAGGATTTGCTCAGCACAGTAGGTCATTTCTCAACATCCAGTCCACCGCCGTGAGTTGCTAATGGCTATCATAGTTGCCATGTATATCATTGCACGAATGGTTCTCGGTGTGGGTATCCTGTTTTGTATCATCTCAGGTGCGGCCCTCATTGGAGAGCTGGGCCACCCTAAGGAGCGAGCTATCCTGACATCGTTGTTCAACTCTTCCTACTTTATCGGTCAGATTCTCGCGTCTGCGATTGCTATCGGTACCACGGAGATGGCGTCCGACTGGGCCTGGCGCCTTCCTTCTCTTCTGCAGATCTGCCCATCACTTTTGCAGATTGTGACCGTTTTGTAAGCTGACGCGCGTCGAAAGTTTGGACGTGGTTTTGGGGAACTAATTTGCTAATTCTGCTTCCCCAGCCTTCTCCCCGAATCTCCACGTTTTCTTGTTTGGCACGACAGAGACGAAGATGCTGCCAATGTCCTCATCAAGTACCATGCCGAGGGCGATGCCGACTCGGAGCTCGTCAAAGCTGAGATCGTCCAGATTCGCGAGACTATCCGAACTGAAGTGGAGGCTTCCAAACAGTCTTGGATGGAACTTCTCCGCACCAGCGGTATGCGTCGTCGTGTGCTGGTCACCGTCTTCATCGGCCTCTTCACTCAGCTGTCCGGAAATACCCTTCTTAGTTACTATTCTGGAGTCCTATTTGGTCTGATGGGTTACACCAAGCCCCTCGTCAAGACGCAGCTCAACCTCGCCAACGCCTGCTGGGGCTTGCTCAACGCCACTGCCATTGCACTTATCGTCCCTCGATTCGCCCGTCGAAAGATGTACATGCTCTCTGCGGCAACCATGCTCGCAATGTTTATAGGAATGACGGTCTCACTTGAGAGAATGCAGGCGTCAATTGCGGCTGGCACGAAAAACAAGGCTGCTGGTATTGCCGCTCTGTTCTTCTACTATGCCTATTCTCCCACCTACAATATCGGCAACAATGCTCTCACATACAGTATGTCTAATGAAACGTTACTACTAAAATCTATGTTACTGACCATCACTAGCCTACTTGGTTGAACTGTGGCCATATGCCCAGCGAAGCCGCGGTATCGGTGTCCAGCAAATCTTTGGCAAGTTGGCAGGATTCTTCTCCACCAACGTCAACTCCATCGCTCTTAATGCCATCAAGTGGAAGTATCTTGCAATTTACTGCGGCTGGATCTGCTTCGAGTAAGCTTTGAAACTTTTACCCCAAGGCAACAGTCTGCTAATGCATTGACTAGGTTCCTTATCGTTTACTTGCTGTATCCCGAGACCTCTAACCGCACACTTGAGGAGCTTGCCTTCCGTACGTTTCATCACAATTGTATACTCTTTATCAGCTCATTACCTAACATTTATATCTTTCAGTTTTCGAGGACGATGCCCTCAACCAGAAGACAGTTGCGGCCGTCGAGAAGCAGATTCATTTCGGGGACAGGGAGACTGCTGTCAAGGGAGGTCCTCAGCAAACCGAGCGCGAGGTCGTTTAAGCTTGGAGAGACTTGCGTTGGGTTGTTCTTGTGTAACTCGATGGACGCCAACTTGATATCCTGGTTTAATTTGAAATATGTCTTGGATAGAAGATTCCAAGTACCACTGGCGATGCACGTCATGAAGTAAATACTTATTAGCTTTTGCCTGTGGTTCTCTTCCTGTGTCGTAAAGAGGTAGTACTCTGGATGACATCTTTTAAGCTGTGCATGCAAGATGAGGCCTAGTCTTTCAGTCTCGCTGTAGCCATCACTATGGAACGAGCGATAAGCACAACAACTTCGTAAGATTTGGCCCCGCCATAACCAGGAGACTGAGCAATAACTTGGCAGCCAATGGAAATAAAATGCCAAGACCAGAAAGTCCACGTCTGTGTAGCTAACCAGCTCGCGAGAATTAGCTGCTATGCTTGCAAGGCATTTGATGGAACCCATGATGCGAACAGATCAGCTGAATAGATTGAGCAGCAGGAAATGGCGAAGCTCATGGGAAAGGCGATTATGCCAATGAATAGACCTTCCCGCTTGACAAATCAGGTGCCTTGTGTTGTGAGAGCACAAGCGCAACAAGCTCTTCCCAAAGCCTGTGTATATAGACTGCAAGTCTTAATTGGAGACAACGACTGTCCATGAGGGCAATCATAAACTAAAGATAATAAGAAGTGATATAATATATCACATAACTTGAAAGTAGCTAGCATCATAAGGGAGTGCATTTTTGTCACAGTTGTTGGACACTGACTCCTCAATGACGTGGCAGCGTGAGGCAAGCGGATACTTTGGATGACCTGTTTTCCTGGCTATAACCTGATCTAGGAAGCTAGATCAGAGAATTTAGGGGCCTAGGATGTTGAGGATCCGGCGCGGCGGTGTCTTGTGTAGAATTTAAAGAGGGAGACAGCATTTTCTACGGGCTTTCCACTGCTCAAGCCCAGTGTTGGTAGGCGGTTCGTCTCTCTACCGCAAGAGAGTCATAGTTTTACTCAGTGAAGATCTCGCATTTCGTTTGCCGAGCTGGTGTGCAATCCCGTCCATGCGCTAGAGACCCGGATAATGAGGATCTCAGTCGCCTTGGCTCCCGGAAAACCAACCCCGTTTATGATGCGGGGACTAAGTTGCTCACGATAATTGAAAGTACAAACACATACATAAAGCCGACTAGTATATGACTCTCAGCGGGATGATGCGTAAGAATATCAAAAACTTCACCGGTTTATTTCTGCCGTTCTGCCGACAAGATGACTTCTAAGGTTGCTCTGATTTTTGGTGCCAGTGGTGTTACTGGCTGGGCATTTGTCAATGAAATACTGAATGACTATCCCAAAAAAGGCGTTTGGAGTGGTGTCCATGCTCTAACCAATCGTCCTCTGAGTGCTGAGAAAGCATTTTGGCCAACAGATGACCGGTTGACTATCACCTCCAGGATAGATCTCTTGGAGGGAACACAAGAGAACCTGGAGTCAAAGCTAGGCGGGATTCCAGGTATTGCAAAGGTTACCCATGTATTTTATCTTGGTGAGTAGCATCCGACGTGGCATATTCAATGCTTTTGATCCGATGTTGAACTTTGGGTAGCGTATAAGGCCAACACAGATAATCCTCAAGAAGTTCGCGAGAATGTTGACATGTTCAAGCGAGCCATTATTGCGAGCGACAACCTCTGCCCTAATATGGAATTTGTGGTCAACCAAACGGGTGCAAAGACATACGGTTGCCACCTCTTGCGCAACCGCCCCAACTACCTTGTACCTCCCTTCCATGAGGATGGGGTGAAGCTTGGCGAGCCGGAATCCGCAACCCTGTTTTATTATCCCATGCTGGACTGGTTAACTGAGTATTCCAAAAACAAAGCTTGGTCATGGGCCGAAACACGACCGGATATTATCATTGGCTTTGTACCAAACCAGAACTGGTACTCGCTTGGTATGGCTCTAGGATTCTTTTTCAGTCTCTATCGGGAGATTAATGGAGAGGGAGCTGAGTGCCCGTTCCCAGGAACTGGAGATTCATGGTTGGCCAAGTCCCAGGATTCATCATCAGATATGATCGCTCGCCAGACTCTCCACATTGCGCTTTCGCCTGATACTCCCAAGGGGCATGCTTATAATGTTGCTGATGAGCTGGCACCTCACTGCTGGCGAGACAAGTGGCCGGTCTTATGCTCTCTGTTTGGGCTCAAGGGAGTGAAGTTACCAGAGGACAATCCTATCGAGGTACGGCGCTATATCAAAGAAAATTACAAAAGGTGGAAAGAAATGGAGAAAAAATATGGGCTGCAAAGTGGGCACGCCGATAACGAGAGGGTCTTTCCTGGCTTCGAGTACTTTCTCATCACGCAGTTTGATACCGATCGATGGTATGATATGAGTCGGCTGTATAAGGAGGCGGGTTTCACGGAGGAGAGATCAGCGAAACAGGCTTGGGGTCCAGTCTTTGATAGAATGAGAGCAGCTAAGTTGATTCCTGCGGAATTCGAGTAGAGATGTTCTTTCTAGAAACCGCCTATTACACTATTGATTTGGAAGCCTATTTCTGCTAGTCCCATTGCTTTGCTCTTCATGCTAGTTGGTGTGTGTATATGCATAGGGAGTTTTCTCATCTTTTTTTGCTCTTTTCCAGAGATACTTCTAACCTTATTTAGCACCATCTTGAGTTGCCCTATCGTTTTGAGGATCATGTGTAAGTGTACTGAAGAGAGCTAGATCAACACCCTGTAAGGCCCATTCTTCCACATTCGCGTCAAGTCCAGGTACTAGAAGACAACTATCAAAGGCCTCGTTGGAATTGGCATTCTGGTAAGAATCATTCGAAGTACCAGTCCCTGTAGGTTCAATTGATGTGCCAGAAAAGAGTTGCGACGGGACTGCTTGCCAATCTGGGTTGGCAGGCAACACGTTGGTGACTTCATACCCAGTCGGATGCGTGGCTGGTTGACATGCAGTGGGTGAAGTGGAAATTGAGTTAGAAGTTGCAAGAAAAAGGAGAGGTTCTCCAGCATCAACCTCGGTTGGACGGTTCTCAATCATGATTGTTCCAAGATACGGAACCTGGATTCGAATAGCATGCCCATTCTCTTTTGCTTCAGCATGATAATCGGAGCCATCCTGTATGTTCTCTGCCAAGGAAGTCCAGATGCTGTATGGCCTTCCAGTCAACGACTCGTTCTCGATGACGAGAAGAGGATTTAGAATACTAGACACTTTGGCAGCTATCGAATCACCAGTCCGCTCCGCCATTGCTCTCATGATGTCGAGAGTTTGGTCTAGAAGAGCTCGGTCGCTCAATCTCTGATGTTGAAGTGACCGGAAAACGCCGGCACTCTTGTGTCGGCGTCGTGATTGAATATGCGAAATACACAAAACCGTGCTTGCTATGAAGGCAATAAAATCGATCCCACGGCAATATGCTGACGACGTGAAGATTTTGCGAAAGGAAACAAACTGAGTGAGAATTGCACGACTGGTATTCGCAGCTGTGATTTTGCTATAATCATATCTTTTATCCCCGTAAGGGGATGAAGCCAAATACGGAAGATGGACCTGAAGTAGAAGATGATGATGTGTGAAATGACTCATGATACGGATTGCCTCCCTCAGTGCCTTGGCGTCGCTGTCAACCATGGCGTTGAGGTCGAGGATTGGCAGCCACCAACAAGAAGGTGCCACTGCGGATGCATCCTGTAGCATTTGGTCAATGGTCTGTGTTGATGTAGCATTCATACTTTTGTTCATGTTTCTTTTCAGGATGAGGCCGCCAACAACAGCTTGCAAACGTTCCATGCGGTCCACTGCATCACAGTGTTCCAAAACCTCTGGAAGGGCAAAGACATCATCATTTACGATGACATGAGGTAGGCCAAGAAGGAGGGAAAGGTACCGATCTGACATGATTAGGCGAGCCCACATATAGTCTGGGCGAACTCGATGCCTTGTTTCTTCCTCGATGACAGGTGCTGGCGGGCTGCTGCTTGAATGTAGGCCTAAGAGTTGTGCCGTCGAAATTGCCCTCTTATTTGCCAACCAAGCTCGCCGTAAGTTTCCAGCATTGTTCAAATACATGCTCTCCATCATGATACATTCAAGGCCTTCAATCGAGGTAAGAGCATCATCATCATCTGTCACTAGCCTTGTAGCGACTCTGAAGGCTGTGGTCATGACAGAGCGAGCATCCTTGCTTAACCCAGGAATCTGCATAGAATGATCCGCCGGAATACCCTGAATAAATGTAGCGAGTAGTAAAAGTTGCCTTGTAATTAGAATGGGATGCATGTGTTGTGTGGGTGACTGTAGCATCTGACGGGGTGAGAGGATGTTCTGAGACATCAACTCGGAGAATGGCCGACAAATGACACCATGAAAGAGTACCGAAGAGCTCATTGGAGCGTCCAGTAAAATATCAAGATCTCTCGGACTCGGCCATGCGGCAAGAAGAGATTTTGATAGCCCACTCGGCGTGTCACCAACTGATGGAAGATTCAGGTTGGTCGTTGCAGCTGGCAAGTGCATCCCGTGAGCGTCACTATTCCATTCACCTTGATGGCTCTATATTTTTAGTGTCAGTAAGCGATTGAAGCGAAAGAAGAACCTTGCTCAATTACCTTGCACGCAGTCTGGTGCGGGCTAACTGCCCTTGGTTTGTCAACGATACCCCCCTCAATCGGCTCCTCGGCTGCGTTTCGTCCCTTTCCGTGGAGATACTCTAAGGCGCTCTCGTCATCAAATTCTTGACTGACGCATTTCGTCCTCCGACTCCTGCATCCATCGCAAGTGGTATCGGCTGGAGTCGCAAACGTGCACCGGATCTTCCGCCGTTTGCACTCCCAGCAGCTCTGTGTGCCTTTGCGAATCTTTCGGCGTTTTCTGCTGGGAGTAGCGGTAGTGTCTTCAACCGCGGCGGAAGTATGCTTCAACGGAGGCAGAAGCGACATATCGGTAGGGATTGATGAGAAAGTCGGGGCTGAGGCTAAGTTGATGGATTAAATCCAATCTGATGTCTTCCTCCGCGGCGGAGAAAGTCACTCAGGGAGCTTCTCCACTAATAACCTTGAAATGCCACTTGTGAAACACTGAAGTTCCGCCGCGGTCGAAGGAGTGTCCAAAGCTCTTCACCTAAGATTCGTCTATCTATAAATACCTGATCTGCTTTCTCACTGAAGTGAAGAATTACCAACAGCAACTAGCTACTCTCAATAGAGATCACTTTCATCGAACTCGATTTAAAATGGTCAATATCGCTATCGCCGGTGGCTCTGGGCGTACGTGCACCTATTCTCCCACCACATGCGAATTCAACTAACATACACACCTTAGAGGTGTCCCAGGAAATTATAGATGCTCTGATTGCCGCTAAAAAGCACACAATCACGATCCTTAGCAGAAAGGTAGACATAGCACGATGCTTGCAAACCTTCAGAACTGATGAATTTTCTAGGGAGCTTCACCGGTCCTCGGAGCGTCCGATATTCGTTGGAAGACTGTGGATTATGACGATAAATCATCCTTAATTGATGCTCTACGGGGTGTTCATACTGTCTTGTCATTCATCCAATTACTTTCTGACCCTGGCCAAAAGTCACAACGGAACTTGATTGACGCCTCAATTGCTGCTGGTGTGAAACGCTTCTCACCTAGTGAATATGGAAGGTTTTTTTGAGCGAATCTTTTTGTTAATGGCAATCCGGCTAACTTTCGAATTAAAGCAAAGGAACCGTAGACATGGTTTGGTGGGAGGGGAAGGAGAAAGTCCGAGAGTACTTGGAGGAGGTGAATGCTGGAGGGCAGGTTGGCTTCCCTACGAACTTTTCTATCTTCGAACACTGGCACTAACATTGCGTGGAAGGTTCTTGAGTACACTTTGTTTCAGCCTGGCCTTTTCCTGAACTACCTTGCGTATCCTCACAAGACTTCGAAGCATGTTGACCCTCTCCAGAGTGTCTTTGATTTTGAGAACAAGCGGGCGATTCTTGTCGGAGATCATGAAGATGCTATTATGACACTTACTACTGTGGCAGATCTTGCTGCAGTGATTGCTAGAGCGGTTGAATATGAGGGGGAGTGGCCCAAGAGAGGTGGTATTTGTGGAAACAGGATGACTTTTTCCGAGGTCGTTGAGCTTGGAGGAAGGATTCGAGGTAAGAAATTGATAAGCCCTCCATCACAAAATTACCATCTCGAATTACTCATAATATGCTTTTAGGAGAACCGTTTAAAATAGACAAAGTTTCGATCAAGGATCTCGAATCTGGCGACCTTAAGGCATCTTGGAATTTAGAAGCAGTTCACAAGGCTGTCTCGGATGAGCAAGCATCGGCTCTTCTGAAGGCTGTTTCCATCGGAATACTACTCAGTAGTACCAAAGGTGCTTGGGATATTTCGAATGAGTGGAATGAGCTATTGCCGGACTTCAAGTTCACTCAGGCGGAGGATTTTCTTGGAGCCGTTTGGGAGGGAAAACCATAACTGATGCCGATCTGATGGTTACTGGTAGTGTTGGGATTGTCACTTTTTCTACAAGGCCATTTGAATCATCTTTGACACAGGCCCGAGTTTGGAACTTTGACATGCGAAGCAATGTGTGCATCAAAATCGGTCACATGTCAAAGAGAATTCGAGGCTTGTTGCCATTACACAATCTATATTATGGCTAGATATGCGTTTCATTACCGTTCTTCCGGCTTGCCATGAGGTTAAGAGCGCTTCCAGATCTAAAGTATAGAATCTGCTCAGGTGTCATGGTATGCGTCACTTCCGTCTTCCATCCCTCTCTGCCATCAGTCGGATCGACAGCAATCACAACGGGCTTACCAGGTTCTAGTTCACTCAAGCCTGCAATACTCAGACGATCTGATGATACCAAGCGATCGTAGTCCTCTTCTTTTGTAAACGTGAGCGCCAAAACGCCCTGCTTCTTCAGATTAGTCTCGTGGATACGCGCGAAGCTCTTGGCAATAATCGCCACACAGCCGAGATGGCGCGGCTGCAGCGCTGCGTGCTCTCGTGACGAGCCTTCTCCGTAGTTGTAATCACCTATGACAACCCATGGCTGCGATGCAGCGCGGTATTTGCGCGCGGTTCCAGGCACATCCCCATCTTCTCCTGTAAGCCAGTTCGTCACGGTGTTGACCTTGTCTGTTTCCGCATTGACGGCACCAATTAGAGTGTTATTAGAGATGTTGTCAAGGTGGCCACGGTAGCGGAACCACGGGCCGGCCGGTGTGATGTGATCCGTTGTGCACTTTCCCTTCGCTTTGATGAGAATGACGCAGTTGTTGAAGTCGTTACCAGACCACGGGGAGAATGGAGAAAGTCGTTGTAGTCTCTCGGAGCTTTCCTCAATTTGTACCTCGACACCACTGCGGTCTTGCTCTGTTGATGGAGGGGCAGTATAAACCTGGTCTGCGGCTGCATATCCTTTAGAGGGTAGGTCTGCTCCCGTGGGAGGCTGGAATCTGAATTCTGTGCCCTCGGGGGTGAGAAGGGAATCTTTGGTGGGATCGAACGCAAGGTCTCTGGAAAAGATCTTGGCCATGACAATTTCCGGCGAGGCTAGGAATATATGAGTGGCTGGATTACTGTCCAGCCGACCAGTGAAATTGCGATTGTATGAAGTGATAATGGAATTTGGTGTTCCCTATACGTCCAATTAGATATGGAATCTCTTATTTTGCAAATGACATGCCACGGCGCTCACCTTTTTCATGTCTTGTCTGTCCCAAGAGCCGCAGCAGGGTCCGCAGGCATTTGTGAGTAGAGTGGACTCAACATCCTTGAAAACCTGCAACGTCCCATCCTGATCAAGAGTCTCCCGCGTTTTTTCGCTTCCAGGAGACACAAGCAGCGGCATCTTGGGTTTCAGACCTGCATCTAAAGCCTGCTTGGCGAGCGAAGCGGCCCTGGTCATATCTTCGAACGAGGAGTTGGTACAAGAACCGATCAGTCCGGCTGTAAGCTCCTGGGGCCAAGAACCCTTTTCGATGGCATCTGGGAACTTTGAGAGAGGATTACTAAGATCAGGCGTGAATGGTCCGTTGATTCGAGGCTCCAAAGAGGAAAGGTCAATTTCAATGACACGATCGTACTCGGCTCCCGGGTCAGCGCGCAGCTCATGAGAGGCGAACCCGAGTGCTTGGGCAATCTCGTGGCGATCCGTTGCTCGGAGGTAACGGGTCATTGCTTCTGAATAAGGGAAGATGGATGTAGTTGCTCCAGTTTCGGCACCCATATTGCAAATAGTTGCCTGGCCTGTGGCCGACAAAGTTTCTGATCCAGGCCCAAAAAACTCAATGATCGAGCCAGTCCCACCCTTGACGGTGAGAAGCTCAGCCAACTTGTTGATAACATCTATAGTATTGCGTCAGATACTGTCTTTTGACATCTGCCATGAGATGGAAATCTCAATAGCCACTTACCTTTTGGAGTTGCCCATCCGGACAACTGCCCTGTTAACCGAACACCGATGATGCGAGGCGCCGTCAACTCAAACGGAAGACCGGCCATCACATCAACAGCATCTGCACCGCCAACGCCAATAGCGATCATGCCCATTCCTCCTGCGTTTGGCGTATGCGAGTCTGTGCCCACCATTATACCGCCGGGGAATGCATAATTTTCCAGGACAATCTGGTGAATAATACCAGCACCAGGCTTCCAAAAGCCCATTCCGAAGCGACTTGAGGCACTAGACATGAAGTTGTACACCTCGCCGTGAGTATTTAGTGCGTTTGGTAAATCTTTGTCTTGTCCATCTCTGCCTACAATTAGATGGTCGCAGTGGACAGTTGTCGGAACCGCGGTGGTTTGTAGGCCTGCTGACATGAACTGAATAATGGCCATCTGCGCTGTGGCATCTTGGCAAGCAATTCTTTGAGGCCGTAGCTTGAGCTGCGTCTTGCCCCTTTCTACCACATCTAACTCATCTGTGTACGCGTAGAGAATCTTCTCCGCGTACGTCAGAGGACGCCGTTGACTGTGGGTTATCAGTGGCTGTTGTTAATCGCAATCTCTTAGGGGATACTTACATTTCACGGCTTTTCTCTATCCTGCGCGTCAATTGGAAGTAGTCAATAAACTTGTCGGGCTCCAATCTGCTGAGGGGGGCTCTTGGTGATTGTGAACTGGCCGTCGCAAGACAACGCAAGAAGCGTCTTGGCGCCCTCTGTGAACATCGAATACTCTGCCACATTTCCACAATGAACTGACGAATGATGATCAAGTAAATGGTAATCAAATAATAAATTAGGAAAAAAGCCCTGTTATGCATTCGTGTTTCTTAAAGAGGTCGCCCTCGTAGATCGATCCACCACACCCTCGGCTTGCCCCTGACATGCTCATCGGATGCATCCGACAGAGTTCAATCCGGTGTGTCGGGGCTGAACTCGATGTTTGGAGGATCACTTTAAAATGAATATTAATCTTGCCCTTCTTTGGTTGAATAGCACTACGAGTAAATAGGCTTTCGTTTGCATCTGCTTTGCGACACATTCACAATGGCTCAAGCACTTGACTACGCCCTGGTGTCTCAACCGGCGGTGACGAAGAAAACCACACCCTGGAGCAATCTTCTTGTGGGAGCCGGAATGAACATATTCCAAGGTTGGTAGCCGCAAAAATCCTCGCCTGACGAGGATCATAGATGTTAACAAAGATTCTTCGTTAGTTACTACGTTGGGCCAACCGATGGAGGTGATCAAAACACATGTTAGTGTATCTGATCCAACCATCATACTACGGAGTATTGATATCAGTTATAGGTCGCTGCTAATAGAGGAGACTCATTAGCAGAGGCCGTTCGTCAGACTTGGCTTCGCGGTGGAGTTCGTGGCTTCTATCAAGGTCTTATCCCATGGGTATGCTCATTCATCAAGCCGGTCGAATGAATGCGAAGTCTAATAGGCAACAGGCATGGCTTGAGGCCTCGACCAAGGGTGCCATCTTGATTTTGACCTCATCAGAAGTCGAGTACTACGCCAAGAAGCATTTCAATGCATCAAATACTGTCGCTGGCGGTCTCGGCGGTGTCGTTGGTGGTGCTTCACAGGCTTACTTGACCATGGGCATGACAACGTGCATGAAAACCATCGAGGTGACCAGAGTGAAGAATGCCGCGCCAGGTGGCCGCATCCCTGGCACGATGGAGACCTTTGTTCACATTCTACGAACTCAAGGAATCCGCGGTGTCAACCGAGGAGTCAACGCCGTGGCATTGCGACAGATCACGGGCTGGTCGTCCCGAATCGGCATTGCGAGGCTCGCAGAGAGTCCCATCCGCGTATTACGGGGGAAGAAAGACTCGGAAAGGCTGAACTTGACCGAGAAGATTTGTGCTTCTACAGTGGGAGGAGCTCTAAGCTGTTGGAACCAGCCGTTCGAGGTAACTATATGTTCTTTTCGCTTACCAATCCGGCCATCCAGACTCACACCACTGTGTAGGTCGTTCGAGTTGAGATGCAATCGTTAAAAGCAGACCCTACGCGGCCGGCATCACCAACTATGCTGTCCACAGCAAAGCACATTGTCCAGACATCAGGACCTTCTGGGTTGCTTCGAGGAGTTGTTCCCCGTATTGGAGTCGCCACTTGGGCGACGATATGTATGGTCGGACTGGGGGATTCGGTCAAGGAAGCTGTGGCCGCAAGGAACAAAACTATTAGAAATTAGAAGGCGAGGCTGCTAACGAGGATGCAGATCGGCTTTTCTTGTAAACGAATAGAATAGGTTAATTCATATCCAATACGTTATCAAAGTTATAATTTTCTCTTTGATAACTCACATTGACTGTATAATTCTCCAAGCCTCTCCAACTAGAGTTTACTGGCACTATTCTTGCTACATAATAGATTATCCCCGTAGACTAAATAAAGGCATCAGAGTAAAAGTTGTTCCGGAGGTCAAATCCCTCATCCAGTAAGTCAATCCACGCTACGTCAATACTCGGCGTTGTCTGACTCTCAACGGAGGGCTGTTGACACCGTAGGCCAAACCATGACATGAACTCTGTATCCACCTCCTCATCGACAGTTTCAGTCGTCTCGAAGAGGGCGAGAATGGACTTACCAAGCCTCTCGACAATCTGCGCACTTCGCTCGCCCACAGACCGACCGCCTGATATTCGCCGGAGGGCAGCAGCGCAGGAGGCCACGTTTGACTGCGTCACCTCCCTTGTCAGTTCTTGACGCAGCAACGGGCTGGCTCGGAGAACGTAGAGGATCGTGATGGCCGCCATGAAAAGTGAGACGAGGGCGACAAAGGTATAAGAGACCTTGTTCTTGGCGTAGAGAGAGTGGTAGCAGCTGACAAGGCTGATTGCCGAGTCCGCACAGAGCCGCATCCCGTCGACTGAGACGACGGGAGAAACGAAAGAGGGACGGAAGAGAGTCAACACGGCTTGATGATAGGCGATTTGCTGCCATTCAGCTGTCTGGTGCATTGACGTAGGCCCAATGTACCTGGGTGCTGCGGCAAGCCATGCATTCAGCATAGCGAGATAGTGGTACCTGGTAGGGTCGGTTCCTTCGACGGGAGCGTTGCCCGCTGCGTGTAGGGCAGTGTAAATTTCAGCATTGATACGTCGCAGTCGAATAATGTGGAGGAATGTAGAGAGATCATCTGGGCTTGGTAGGACTGAGGGGACAGCTGTCTCGCGAGGTTGAAGTAACTGATCATCAGACAAGCACAGCGGCAAGGCGGCGGTGATGTCCACGTCTTGCAGTCCGGTGGGTCTGCCCATGGCTATGGAAATACTTCTATCCATCGTGTAGATGCTCCAAAACAGCCGTTTGCTCATCTCTTCCTGCACAAAGCTGCCGCATGGGGTCGTCTCTTGCCGATGCATATCGATTCCGAGCGCCAAGCGTAGAGCTAACCCTACCGTATACCAGAGGTCGACACGTTCAGGCTCGTTGCTACCGTATATACACAGTAAGAGTAAGCTCTGGATACATGACACATCGTCGGAGGCCAGGACAGCACCCAAGTGTTGTATGGCAGCCTCGAAGAAGTGATCGTGTGCCGCCACCTCACCCGGACCAGTTCTCGATTTTTCGGACGCGCCTATGGCTAGGACAATATTTGCTTGGAACTTGGTCAAGCCATTACATGTTTCACCTGTGATGAAGGGCCCGTACACGTCTTTCATGAATGCGGGTTTGTGGAGCACAGGGAATTGTGGCCATCGACGGGCGAAGAAGAGTTCGGCAAACTCCCCCGTGTCTGTCAAGTACGATGGTAATGAAACCCCGGGAGTTGTTCCAGCATCAGCGTTAAGCCCATGCCAGAGGTGCCAGGGGCTTGTTAAGAATGATGTGTTCACCCCATCCCCAGTGTTCCGTCTCCGGAAGGTTGGCAATAGAATGCGCCCGCTATATGCAACATGCTCCTCTGAGTTGGTTTGGGTTTCCCTTCTCGAAGAACTTGGTGTTAATGGTGAAGCAGGATCTTCTAGAGGTACCTCGAGGGCAGGGGTGCTGATAAAGTCCGGTTGGAAATTGTCTACTGGACAGTCTAGCTGGTGTCTCAGCCTCTCATTTTCCAAACGTAGAGCTTGCACTTGATCCCGTAGCTGTTCACAGTCACAACATGGATCCGACCGAACCACAAGACGCTCTGAAGGTATGCAAGTCACTCCCGCGGTGAGACACGGTTCGCAACTCGGATGCTTCCCGTCACACTGTTATCCTATGTGTAAGCGAAGAAACGACCTTGATCGATAAAGTGGCAGGCGGTACCTTTTGCTTTCTTTGCCTGCACCTATGACAAGCAGCAGAGCTTCGTTTCAGGCCCCGGCGACGGCGGACCGGTGTTGAGCCCGTCGCAGACTCAGTGCCGTCCAGTCCAGACACTTGAATGGACGAGTCTTCGTCCGACATGGCCTTCTGCGCTCCACAACGGATCGATGCGAATGGCACAACTGAATCATGGAGTCTAGGATGTCTGAGGGAAGATTATGAGGTGGCGAAGGCCAAACTTCAGTCCTTTCCTGTCCGGCCCTATCCGGCACTATCCGGATCCCCGCAACCAGCCAAGCCCCTTCGGATGCATCCGATGCCCATCAAATCTCCCCTGACTCAGGTGCTGGCCATGTTGGTTACTTAGTTTAGCGTGAGTCGGACTATGCCTACGACTTGTATTGGTGAGAGCTTTCATGTTGGCTATCTCACGAACCCCATGGGTCCGCTGCAGCATATTCAACTCAATATTCCAGGCCACCCAGCGTGTGATTGACTTTTCTAAGCCAAAGTGCTTCAACATGAGTACTGTCTCTGATGATCGGTAAGTCGATCTTCACATGGAAAACTGGAGATTCGATGAAACTGACCGTGTCCAAGTGGTGCCCTACCCCCAGGTGCCTGGGATACGCATGTTCACGTATTTGACACCTCAATTGGGCCATTTGCACCTTCGAGGGCCTACACTCCAGCCCAGGCTTCCCTTTCTCAGCTGGTAGCCTTTGGCCGGAGCCTCACTCAGGCATCGGAGGGGCCTTCTTTTGTTATTGTGCAGCCGTCTCCATATGGCACCGACAACACCGTATTATTGAGCACATTGAGATCTTTCCAAGCATTGGGCTGTAAGGGACGTGGAATCGCAGTCGTGGATTTGCAGACCGTCACTGATGCCGAATTGCAAGAGATGCACAATTTGGGAGTTCGTGGTCTTCGGCTGAATTTCCAAGCTGACGGAAAGAGCGTTGATACAGTCGCGTTCAACAAAACTCTCGAGGCTGCCGCTGAGCGTATTACCCATATGCCTGGGTGGATGATTCAGGTGTTCATACCAGGATATATCTGGGATGGTATCTCTACCGCCTAAGCCTTATTGTGTCCATCCGCTAACGGCCGTCCTAGACATTTTCGACATTATTGTTGCTCTGCCAGTGCCAGTCATTGCTGATCACATTGGAGGACTCAAAGGTCCATCGAAACTCCCAGAAGGGGCAAATATAGACCACTCTCAGCAGCCAGGCTACAAGTCCCTGATCGAACTTGCGCGCAGGAACAAAGTTATCATAAAGATTTCCGCTCTATATCGGGCATCAACAAAAACAGACACTTCCTATAGTGATCTTGCGCCTCTTGTTCGCTCGCTTGCTTTGGAGATTCCAAATCAGTTGGTTTGGGCTAGCGACTGGCCACATACTGGTGAAGGGAAAGATAGGGAAGCTAATGGAATTGACAAGGTCGAGCCGTTTAGACATGTGGATAATAGAACAATGCTTGCATCGCTGAGAAGTTGGATAGATAACGAGACAGCATGGGTAAAGATGCTGGTAGACAACCCTGCGCGCATTTATAAATAGACGAATAGAACATATGCGGTGAAAAATACCGCTTCTTGGGTTTATATTAGTTCTTTAATGCGATATAGCTATTTAAAAGACTTGACGTCGAGGCAGATATTAGATAAATCCGAAAGTCACATCCATCGGTTAAGCCTCCCTCGCGCTGATACTGAAGAACGCGCGATCCAAAAACCTCTGAGGCTTTCGTGTCAAAAAGAATAGTGAGTAAGATACGGCTTGGCTATCTTATAAGAATTGTGATAGCTCTTATCATATTACCTACTATGGCCGGATTCAGGGAGCGGAAGGCTTTGAAATACACCGTGACGCAGACGAAGTGATATTTGGATGGAGATAATTTTTCACGCTACATCCATACAAAAATTCCCCCAACAGCTATTTGATACCAATACGAGAGTCTAGTTCTCAAGATGTTTTGCAGAGCCCATCTCAAGTGCTGCCACTTGTGCCTTTTCCGCAGCCCCGTACTCCTCATCCGCTGAACGAGGAAGAGGCTTCCGCATCTTGTATATAGGACGTTCAAAGATAGCATCCATTTCATCCAAGCTGAGGCCACGCGTCTCTGGCACACAGAAAACAGTGTACACAAATGCGACGATGCACCAGGCTAAGAAGAATACGAAAGCACCCCAGACAGCCATAGAGGATAGGATGCTAGGTGTGGCTTTCGTAATGGCGAAATAGAACAGCCACTATCGATTTTAGCGTTTTAGTACATGTTGAAATATAGAAATGGAAAAATGAGGAAGGATTGAATACGTACGTGGAAGCATTGCGAGACGGCACCACCGAAGGAGCGGATGCGATTAGGCCAGAGCTCGGCCCCGAAGAGGTATGGCAATGTATACAAACCCACTGCCCATCCAAAGGCGTGAATATAAATGATTGCAATGGCCGCATCTGAAGCACCGGAAGGTACAGAGGATGGATCGGAGAGGAAGTACTTGAGGTACCCTGCCAGATACGCGTGACACATCATCTGTACAGTGACTCCCAGCATAAGTGACTTCCGTCGACCCAAGATATCAACAATAAAAAGCGATGCAGCAAAGCAGCAGACCAATTTGGCAACAGCATAGAGTCCAGTAGAATAGATCCTGGCGGAAGTACCTTTAACTCCAATCAAACCAAAGATGGTGGGTAGATAGTTGGTAATAGAGTTGGCGCCGGAAAACTGAGCGAGAATGTAGGCCACAATCGTAAGTTGCACACGACGTAAATTTGATCTCTTGCCAAATGTCTCCTTGATAATGGCCCAATATCCGTCCTGTGGATTCCCACTGTTTTCATCCTCGATATGAGAGACGAGCTGAGCATACTCCAGTTGCATTGAGGCATCGTCTTCTGGAAGGCCACGGAGCTTGTAGAGCGTGTCTTTCGCCTCCTCCATGCGGCCAGTAATGGCTAGCCACCGAGGAGACTCACAGGTGAAGAAGGAAAGTCCGATGGCAAGAGCAGGAACAAATGTTTGGACAAACCAAGGCACTTGATATTGAAGGTCGAGAGCTGGCGAGATGTTTACGCTACACCCAAGAACGGTGAAGCTACCCAGCGCCTGTGATCCAAGCATGCAAATGTTGAACCATAGGGTGAGGAAACCACGGATAGTCTTTGGCGCAATTTCCGCGATAGCCATGGGCCCAACAACACTGCAAGCTCCAATTCCCAGGCCAGCAATGATGCGACCAGCGTATAGTGCTCCCGCATTCCCGTATGAGAAGCACGCAACTAGGGAGCCGATGGCATATAGAGCCTGGTACACTCTCATCGACCAAATACGACCGAGCTTGTCATTGAGAAAGAACGACAAGAGAGCACCAATACCAGCTCCCACATTAACCAGAGACACAATATTGGATATAGTCGCATCGTTGAGGTGGTATTTTCGAGAAAAGGAGGCAAGCGAAGTAATCGAGGCTGCGGAGCCTTCATCCCAACCTAATTGGAGTGTTAGTAAAATTAAATTTAAATGAGAAACAGCATGGATTCATACCCTTTGGAGTGCCACACATTCCAAATACGAAGCAAGAGAGAAATAATCGCCAGTTGAGAACGGCCCGAGGCAAAGCCTTGATGCCGTTGACATGATTGGCTAGAGATGATTTCTTAAGACGATCCATGATAATGTGTAAGATACCGAGTTGAGGGAAAGGACACTGACACAGTTTTGGAGAACTACAGAAGAATCAGTGTCCTCTTGCTGGTCTAATATATGTCTTCAAACAGACTCCAAGCAGGGAGAGTTTTGAGTTTCCCCAATTTCAGTTACCCCAGACCCCGCATGTGGCCGACAACATGATCTGGGCGCCAATGAGGAGATAGCAATTATGGCCTGACCTGGATCTAGCCGATGAGTCTCCCATCGGATCGCTCCGAGACGCTCAACACGCGACTGCCGTGGCTGGCCTAGGCTTCTAGGCGTCACGGTCTAAAACGGGTCTTCAATCTCATTTATTTCGCAGCTATCCGAACCTTTTGTGCATATTACTCGTAATAGAACTACTGCGTGTCTAGTAAGTACTCGTGCTGAACCCACAACCACCTAGCACACCATGTCACTCTCATCTCTACGAGGCCTAGCCCGGCCGGCTTCCCAGAGCCTGGCCCGGCAAACTACCATTTGCCAAGCTCGTACTGCTGTGCGCCTTGCTAGCCAGATTTCTCGCAAACAGAACCGTCTCCCAGCTGCCTACTATCGAGGCGGGACATCACGGGCAATCTTCTTCAACAAGGATGACCTCCCGGCAGACCCTACCGCCTGGAATTCAATCTTCCTCAACAGCATTGGAAGCCCTGACAGATACGGTAGACAGCTAGACGGTCTCGGAGGGGGAATATCCAGCCTGTCAAAAGTTTGTGTCGTAGGGAAGAGCAAGGAACCAGGCGCTGACGTGGATTATACATTCGTGTCGCTGGGCATCAACAACACCAACGTTGATTACTCGAGCAACTGCGGCAATATGTCCGCCGCTGTTGGCCCTTATGCAGTTGATACGGGTCTGATTTCAACCTCGAAAGAAGCGACTGAGGCTACTGTCCGTATCTTCAACACCAATACCAAGAAGATAATTGAGGCGGCGTTCCCCGTAGTTGAGGGAGAGGCGGAGGCCTACGGAGACTATGCTATTGACGGCGTGGATGGAACAGCATCAAAAGTAACTCTGCGCTTCTTAAACCCGGCTGGCTCGAGAACAGGCAAGCTTCTGCCTACGGGGAACGTGACTGATGAGATTGAAGGGATATCTGTTACTCTGATCGACGCAGGAAACCCGTGCTGCTTCGTGCCAGCAGAGCAGCTCGGCGTGGATGGAACCCTCACGCCACAGGAGATTGACGCCCACCCCACGTTAAAGCAGCAGCTAGAAAATATTCGAGGGCAAGCTGCTGTCCGGATGGGCCTCGCTGAAACGACGGACAACGTTCCTGGAAGCGTCCCCAAGATTGCCATCGTTTCTGCGCCGACGGACGGATCAACGGACAGCATCATTGTCCGTGCCATGTCTGTTGGGCAACCACACAAAGCCGTTCCTGTAACGGTAGCGCTTGCCGCGGCAGCAGCGGCGGAACTGCCGGAGACAGTGATTCATGGGCTGGTGAGCCTCGGGAACGGCTCGGAGATGGTGATCCATCATGCTAGTGGTCAATTGGCTGTCACTGCTGATTTCGACAGCTCAGGAGACCTCAAGTCATGTACGGTGTTTCGCACTGCGAGAAGGCTCATGGAGGGACAGGTCTTCTGGAAATAGCGATGGAGTTGTAGATTATTGTGCTCAGTGAAGATCGCAGTATGATGTGGGAAGCTATCCATTGCCGGTGTCAGTTTAGCAATTCATAATAAAAAAAAGAAGAGTTTCATTTATTCATAACTAAGAGTCAATCATGATCGTCAATCATAACAAAAATTTACTCAGAAGAAACAGCAACCGTGTTGACCAAGCCCAACATTCTCCCCACCGCCACAATCCTCATCACGGTCTCGGCACTCTCTCTGGTGAGCTTCTCTGCCTCCATCACAGCATCTTCTAGAGTAGTTGGACGCTGAAGAATACAGGTAAAGGCATCGATACCCACGTCGTAGTTCACGCGAGCCCCCGGGCCAATTGTCCCGGCAATGGCAATGACCGGAAGCTGGTGTCTCTTCGCGCGGCGGGCAATCTCACCCGGGATTTTCCCCCGTGGAGTTTGATCATCAATACCGCCCTCGGCGGTGAGTACAAGGTCACAATCATCAAAGAGGCTGTCAAGGTCAATATACTCCATGATGACCTCGTATCGGGGCCGGAGGCGTGTACCAAGAAGACGTAAGCCTGTTCCCAGGCCTCCAGAGGCACCACCGCCAGGCGCAGAACAGATCTTCTCATCGCCGAGAATCATGCCTGAGATACGTGCCAGTGCTTCCATCGCGGCAGAAAGGCGCCGAGTTTGTTCAGGTGTCGCTCCCTTCTGCGGCCCGAAGACGGAAGCGACCCCCTGAGGGCCGCATAGAACGTTGTCCCAATTGACGGCCGCCTCGATCTGCACATGTTTAATGCGCGAATCTACTCGTGAGAGATCGATAGCCGCCAGATCTACAAGGGACTCGCCACCCATGGCAACGGGAATCTCAAGCCCCTGGGAGTCATGAAGACGGGCACCCAAGGCTTGGAGCATGCCAGCACCGCCATCACACGTCCCAGAGTCGCCACACCCAATCAAGATGCGGTCTACCCCGTGGCTCAAGGCGGCCAGGATCAATTCTCCGACCCCGAAGGTCGTCGTCAGACTAGGGTTGCGCCGATCAGAGGGTACAAGGCTGAGACCTGCAGCAGCAGCCATTTCGATCACCGCTGTGCGTGGCGAAGTGGTGGCAGTCAGGGCGTCCGGCTGTGGACCGAGGATCCCAAAGAATGACACGATCGGCTCGCCAACTGGGCCCGTCACGCAAACCTTGTGGATATCGCCTCCAGTAATGGCGACGAGGGAGCGGGTAAACCCCTCCCCGCCATCGACGAGAGGTACTTTGCGCACCTCGGCAGTGGGCTCAACTGCCAAGATTCCTGCTTCGATGCTGTTGGCAGCAGCATCTGGCTCTAAGCTACCTTTGAAGCCAGAAGGACAGACAAGAACTCGCATTTTTGGTGGGGTGGGCACGCGGAGCTGTGTCATGATGAGGATATGGGTAAGGAAGAGGAGAAGCTGGTTTAGAACCAGGAAAAAGGGTACACAGAAAAGGCTATAGCGAGTGTGATAGAGGAGTGTCGATTTAGCGAACGGGATGGGATCAAATTATGCAAGGGGCAATTTGAAGATAGCGAATGACAAACAGAGCGAATGTATTTGATACTCAGCGAGTGTGTGTGAACTGGGTTGATGTACTTTGATCAACAGCTACTAGAAGCTGGGAAGAGGAGGAGGTTATTATACTTGGTCTCTCAAGTCCTAGATGCTCGAGATTGGACTGCCAGTTCACGTCAGGTCATCACTCTCCCGGCTCTCCTTCCCGGGTTTGGATGCCAAACTTTCTCGATGGGCTAATTTTACGCTGCTTGAGTGGCTTAGAGCTGTGACAGGATCTTGGAGGGGGCGTTTGGAGACCCAGCCATCGAGCTCAAGTTTCTGCGAACACTAGCTTCTCGGTTGCCTCATGGCAGAGAACCATCATGGTCCCTTTCCCTTCTGCCGGGCCCTACTCAGCAACTAACCGCAGGAAACCTCGAGTGGGTGTCAATGGTGCCTGAATTGGATGCATGGTGCCTACGAAACAGACCAAATTCTTGGCAAGGATCACGCGACCTATGTACAACTAGGGAAATGTCACCGACTTTTCATGCGGTTTCGGGCGAATTAGGGCTCCACGTCATGGAGGAGGTTTGGGTATTCTCAGCCCTGTGTAGGCCAAATTCTAGCTGCCGAAGCTCCATGGAAAAGCCTGCTCAGCCTCCTTGGGTTGCGTCGTCGCCAAGATGGTGGCTTGTAAGTATTTCGTGTTTCAGCCAGAGCCTGGTAGAGGCCATCAAGAGAGAATTTAAGCTTGTTTTTGGTGTGTGTGGGGGTGGGTCAACAAGCACTCTCCTCTCTCTGGTCTGTTCGGAGGTGAAGCACTTACCATGGGTTAGGGACAAGGACCCGGGCATGCTAGACGGCATGAATGGTGACGGTGTAAGCCATGCTGGGCTCTTTACCGAGAAGGGACAAGGCAGATAAGGTCGACAGCAGCTGAAATAAGGTCCGACGCGTGTCCTTCTCAGCCTCTCCTTGGCAGCTGCTCCAATGAGTGCCGTCCACGACAGTATCCATGCTTATTTTTAACCACACAGGACCCTGAGCTAGGCAAATCTTATCAAACGGCACGGGAGTTGTGTGGGAGGGAATATGTGTGGTAGCCATGTCCCGATATGCGGGTACTGCGTTGTTGATCACTACACAGCCACACTCATGACGCCAAATCAACGACGCTATCCTGCTATACAGACGAATAAAGTTGCATTAAACTCATAGAGGCTAGGAAGAGCCTTGTTTGATAGGTCCCTTTTGGGTGAGGAATGTCAACTATCATCCCTGCTTCCACCACAACCCGATGGCCCCCACAACACGAATCTCCTGATGGGCCCGTTGGAGGCCGCCAAGATTGAGTATCTTGAATTCTGTTGTTTCAGCCACTTGGCGAGCTGTGAGTGAATTTGTTGCCAAGAAGTCTTGAGGCTGGGCAGGCGCCCACCGCCGTCATTTCTCGTGTTCAGTTTAAGTTATGTCCTTGTGCTGAATCTAAGCCCTGGCTGCGTACGAATCATCGCCTAACGATGACTTTCATCATTTCGAAGTGCTTTTACAAGCCACGGGAGATCCACATCCCAAGCCTAATAAGATCCTGTCGTAGGATATAGGATTATCACTTCCAGATGTTATTCGTTGTCTCATGTTTCCATGTTATCTTTTAGCGTGAAATCTTGTCACTCGCTTGGTTGTTTTGTCAATCGCTTGAAATATCGACCTTATTGTTTCCTTTTGTTGCTGAAAAATGTCGCCAAGTCGTTCGCTATCAGTAGCCACGTCGAAGTCATCACTTTGGCGCTACTGGAATGTAAATACCACTGGCGAGTATGAACGATCGTTGCATAGATTCCCTTGGCTATCGAATGATGTCGGGGAAGGGATTAGAGAGAATGGTTATGAGGCCCCCAGGGAGCCTCCTTCGTTAGAGACACTCTACCAGGACTCGTGGCCACTACGCCCCGAGCCTTGCCAGGATGGAGGTCATGTCCGGGCACTGCGTGTGGCGGATCTGGAAACGGACTCCCTTCAACAACCACCAGAGAACTGCATTGAAGTGTCTTCGCTAGATAACTATGATGCTGAATCTGCCCGAGCATTTAACGGCGATTATCAAGGTGATTCAGGGGATGAAGACGCTTCTGAGTCGCCGGAGGATCCTAATTTGGTACGTGAGCATCATCGTTATGCCGTAATCTCAGAAGCCCCAATGTATCGAGGAACATCTACGTCCAGCTCATCATACTCACATCCTCTATTCTAGGTAACTTGGTGCGGTAAGGATGACCCAGACAATCCACATAACTGGCCGCGGCACAAGAAATGGTCGTCAACGCTCCTAGTATCCTGTTTTACCTTCATCTCGCCTGTCTCATCCACCATGTTAGCGCCTGCTCTCCCAGCTCTTGCCGATGAATTCAACACCTCCTCCGGCATCGAGACATACCTTATCATGTCTATCTTCCTGCTGGCATATGCCGTCGGCCCTTTCATATTGGCACCTCTGTCGGAAATGTACGGTCGCGTGGTAGTTCTTCAAGCCGCCAATATGGTATTTTTAATCTTCAATACTGTTTGTGGATTTTCTCAGACGAAAGCCCAGATTCTCGCCTTCCGTTTTCTCAGCGGATTAGGAGGGGCTGCACCACAGGCTGTAAGTTTCCGCTCTGTGACATTTCACATTTGATCCAGTTGTTCCAGTATTGACATCAATCGTTTCTAGCTAGGAGGTGGTGTGCTCAGTGATTGCTGGAGAGCAGAGGAACGAGGAAGCGCCACTGCTGTGTACAGCTTGGCACCCTTCCTTGGTCCGGCCATTGGTCCTATCGGTATGGTTTCTCTATTAATAGTCTTTTCGTATTATACTAAACACTGACTTTTACAGCTGGTGGATACCTCGTTCAGTATCTCAACTGGCGTTGGATCTTTTGGGTCGTCTCCATTGCCGACGCCGTGGTTCAGATTCTTGCCTTTCTCTTTTTGCCAGAGACTTACCCGCCCAAGATTCTCGCCACCAGGGCGAAGAAGCTACGAAAAAGCTCCGGCAACAAAGATCTACATACAGAATACGATCGCCCTGACCGAAGCTTCATCAAAATCCTCCTGAATAATCTCGAACGTCCATTTGTGATGCTGTTCACCCAGCCCACCATCCAGCTCACAGGGCTCTACCGAGCCTACTTGTATGGGCTGATGTATCTTGTGTAAGTCTACCATCCTAATTTTACCATATGAATACCACACAAGACTCACACACATTTACAGTCTTGCTTCATTTCCAATGGTCTGGGAGGAAAAGTACGACCAGGAACCAGGTCGAGCCAGTCTCAACTATTTATCGTTGGGCGTAGGATTTGTCATTGGACTGCAGGTATCTGGTCCGATGATTGACCAGGTATGCAAAATCTAGACAACTTACAATATCACATGAACTGGCAGCTAATCATGCTTGGTTCTGAACTAGGTCTACAAGAAGCTCAAGGTTCACTATAACCACCCTGGCCGTCCAGAGTTTCGCGTTCCCCTCATGTTTCCCACGGCTATCATTGCACCTGGGGGCCTTCTCTTGTATGGCATTTCGGCACACTTCAAGACACACTGGATTGTCCCCAATATTGGAGCGGCGATATTTGCCGGGGGATTGATTCTTTCTTTCCAATGTGCCCAGACGTACGTCGTCGACTCGTACGAACGTTACGCCGCCAGTGCTACAGGAGCTGCTGCCTTCATTCGCACCATGGCAGGCTTCAGTTTTCCCCTCTTTGCACCAGGACTCTACAAGGCCGTGGGAGTGGCTGTCGGAAACGGCATATTGGCCAGCATCGCTGCGGTCATTTGCTTAGCTGCACCGGCAATTATGTGGAAGTATGGTGAAAGGATTCGAGCTCGAAGCCAATACTGTGCTGGATGAGTGAAATCACATTGGCTAAGTATAAGAGAACGAATTATTGCGATATGGTTCAACGATGAATCTGATTAACGACTGGGTACAATAGTAACCCTAACGGAGGTCTTCTCACCTCCGTGTACTTACACGTCTGTCATTTTGAGTTTTGTTTCCTTTTCTTTGTTATTATGGCGGCAGTGTCCTTAGGACCTCTATATGCTCGCGCGCAATTGTTGGTACTCTTATTCCAATCAATGGAATAATTGACCCATCCACCTCATGATATTACGAATTTCTTCGGCCTTCTGATGTGGTTCTATTCTCTGAATCACTTTTCGTTTCTTTCTTTGATAAATAGACTATTTTCGGAACTTCCTTACTGCCCCAAAGCAGCTCTTTTACACCGGAAACTTGTCTAGAATGAAATTGGAAAGAGCCAGTACCTTTCAACAGCCATTACCTCCACTCACTTACAGACGAGACTTATTAGCTTACAAAAAATAAGAAATTGAGGGGAAAAAAAACATACAACAGCGGGTATTCGCTGGTCGTCACCGACCCAACTACTAATCCACCCCTCATCCGTTTAACTAGGCGAGAGCGGACGGGATCGCGTGTTCTCGAATGGGTATGGTCGTATGTGATGGTTGAAGCTATCGTAGGAACTATATGCCCTAGTCCCCGCTCTCACACAAAATGATAATGCGATGAATCATCAATCGTGAATATATCCCCATTTTTAGAACCCTATGGGATAAGAAATAGTCTAGCCTGCGGCGAACTCCCTATTAAGCATAACAAATGTTGACATGGCTCGTTGACGGGATATTCAACGTGAAGATTGTTTACCATATGCACAAACTACAAAGGAGACCACATATCATCATTTCAGCAGCTTAGATTTCTTATGCACATGCCAGTTTCTTATTGAAACCTGTTGCGAATAACACCACGAATCCAGTCTCAAGTCTGCCACTCGATTGAATCGTCCGAATCATTCATCACATCGTGGAACGCCTTCCATTCCGATTTCGTGACGACAGGCGGGTTGGATATGACCCCTACTCCACGAGGTTTGAACTCTTCCTCAAGTCGCCTTATTCTGTCCCAAGGGTACACGGGATCAGTGAAGGCTGCTGGGATGTTTTGTTGGGCGACGACTTCGAACTGCTGCAGGGAAAGGTTTCTGGCGAGTGCACCCTGGATAAGCCGTCGTATCCATGTTTCGTCATCTTCCCTGAGCTGGCCGTGTCTCTGCCGATACATGTCGCGACGCGCATCATAGTTGAGTCTTTTGAACTTCGGAGCAGCGACCAAATCCACGTCAGTCTCATGGAATATAGGATCGGTATCTCCGAAATGCCACCTTGACACTGTGAGCTCTTCAAGGGCCGTGAAGTCGGACGTATCCAATGAATCTTCGATGGGGACTCTGGCACCCAGGGAGCATATCTTTACGACCTTGAGGGTTTCTTTATGCTTGCGCAGCATTTGTAGTATCTCAGGTAAAGCTAGCACTCTGCCCCAACGCTCTGAGTGTTTATACTCATCGAACACAAAAGTCGTCAACACTGAGGGCCAGTGGATGAGAAGATTCAGCTGGTCTGCTTTTACTTTAAGATCAAGGAGAAACAGTTGGTCGAAGGTCGCCTTCTATTGGCTTTGTGGTCAGTCCCGTCCAACACAAGGTGTTACGGTTGGCTTGAAAGGGACTCGTATCTACCTTTATTTCTGGTCTTTGCAAGCTTTCACGTTCGCCAGAAGCGCCGGAAAGGCGGAGAGTTTGCAATGCCCCGAACTCGACTTGGGTGACAAGCGGGGTTATCTCAAGGTCGTTTATATAACTAATAAGCTCCAGGTGGGCTAGCTTGGGCATATGCCGGGCGGCTTGTTGAAGAACAAGCCATGATGGGTCGCTAGAAATGGCCGAGAGGGGCCCGTTGAAACCCAGGGTATCGACTTCCGTCAGGAGCGGGACTACGTTATGTGCAAAGTAGGTGAGGGCTTCAGACGAGCCGTCGCTTGGAAATCCCGCGTAGATGGACAGGTTTTGACAGTATCCAGGAATCACCGAGTTCGCCTGCATAATATTGTGAAGGTGAGTAACCGAGGCAATTGTAGGCGGCCTTCTCCAAGTATCATTTCGTGGGCCGAGGCGGATAGTCTGATAATTGAATTTTAAAGAAGTGCTGTAGAATCGCTTGCACACGGAGGATAGCCTGCGGCAGATTTTGAGATCGTAGCTTGCGAAGGCGGACCTTGCGTTAGAATCCCAGTTAGGAAGCTGAACAGCATGACGGAAGATTTCGGTAAGCAGTTCGCTTGGGAGGCCCAACATTGTGGGTTGTTGGAGGGTGCTCATGGTGGCAGCTGGAAGTAAGATGTAACCAAAGACGAGCTGCTGAGCGAAATACGAGATTGAACGCGGGGGATGGCCGGTGATTTAAATACTTATTCTTACTCTCGGATCGACGGCAACCGACATGTAATGCCCCACAGGGGAGAAGCAAGTCTCGGTAGCATTGTCTCACTCTTCGTCAGCAGGGGGTCGGTGTTACAGCAGCGTGATCGGAGAGACAAGAGATGTGTGCTTGAAGCTAGGTACATCATAGATGTTAAAAAGACAAGGATCGACAGTGTGACAGAAGATGGATGTTAACATGTTCAGCAACTGTAGTTTGTTGTCCTGCTCAAGAGCACCCAATGTAAATAAATAACCTGTACAGCGGCAACATCGCGAGGTCGTCCCATTCTAGACACGAGCAAGCACCATGTTGAAACCAGCCTCCTCTTCATCATCTTCGTGATCTCTTGGGGAATACCCCCAATTTACCCAATCAGAACTCCCCCTCGTGTAATCAAAACAGCACCATCCTCCCAACCTTGCTTCACATTGAACCCCGCGCTCCCGCAGAGCCAACATCAGTCTACCACCAGGTGCCTTCGCATTCGGCCGCGTCTCCGGCCTCACGCCGACTGCAAAGCCGTATAAGTAGACCCATTTAAGAGCAGGAAACAGGTTCTTATCCGTGATAAGATCCTGTACCAAAGCAACCAGCGCGTGGTTGATGCGGCCCGACCGGTTCAAACTGACATAGTCGTCTCGACCAAACTCATCCATTTCTATATACTCTGCGCCAGTTCGCTGATCAAGCACCAAAACTTCTAGGCTCTCACGGCAACCTAGCAACAAGCGTCTCCAAGCAGCAAAAGTCGCTTCCTCAGCACGAGTCGACCAGGAGTATTGCATCATATACCCATCATAAACTTCGTCCCAATCGAAATCACCATCTTCGAGGCCGAAATCTCCACGAGAGCGGGGGTCCCTCGCAGAAGAACAAAGAAAGAGGTGTTTCAATTTCGGTAGATCAAGCTCTACATCGTCGGGCAAGAACCCGCCCATTGGCCGAGGAATCAGCACCCCTTCGTGCAAGCTGCCGTAGTCGGGCGTCCCATTCTCCATTGTCCCGATCGCCTCCTCCGGTAGAGGGTCGTATATATCCCGTCCATCCTCGCCAGGGCAGATAGGTCTGTCGAACAACCCGATCTCCAGGCGTTCTAGAGTGGAGCTGGATCTCATTATCCACTTGACAATGTTTCGTGGGATATGCCCGAATAGCCTTGCGAACCGAAGTCTCGGGAGGCTTGGCCAGGTAATCTCATGCTCGGGGATCTCCTCAAAATCCGCCTTTGGATCCGTTCCGTGGAGCTCAAGCGTCTCAAGATTTTGGAAGAAGGACAGGATAATGCCGCATAGTGGCCCTTCAGGATGCACAACGGTGCAGAGGTGTGTAACGCGGTAGCAGACCACTTGAAGTCGGGCAGGGTTGTCATCGTAGCTCTCCTGTAACATCTTGAAGAATTTCTCTCCCCTCTGCTGGCACTTGTTGTGTTGGTTGTATTGATCCGTGCTTGCCGTGATCGGTCTTGGGTGGCGCTTGGCCGGTGGAATGAAATGCGGCGGCACATCAAGATCCCACAAGTGGTGATAATCGCTCTGGTGAAATTCAAGAAAGGACCAAAGCTCAGGCTCAGCGGCATTCATCAGGCGATGGCATGTCAAACTGAGTCGGCAGAGGTCACCGTCACAGAGATTTCCCATCACACGTGACAGTAACTCACTCGGAAGCGTTGTTAGAGACATTGCAACCTAAAATGGTATAGAAGAGAGATGATGATGTGAGGCTGTCTCGTCGTGAAGATGTCTAGAAGCCTTGGACCGGTCTCGTTTCTATGGCTTGAGAATTTTCAGAGCTGAGACAATTATTTAGTCACCGCTCTATCATGAACCTTTTAGCCGTGAATAAATTCACGAGTGCCAAGATGAATCCTCCAGCTCGAATGTGGACCTTCTTTAGGCAGAAAGGCCCCTTGTCCTCAACCCCAAGAGGCGCTCGCCGAGCCATTTTACATGTGGTGTTCATTTTGAGGGACATTGTGTTAAATGCGTTCGATTTAATTCATTATTTCGCGCGAATGAATGAGATGTATTTATTACAATATATTGTAAAATTAATAGGGCTATTGAAGTGAATGAAGAAGTGAACAAAGGAAATAATAAGTGCCAAGTAAGGTATCTAATAAGTTCTAAGATTATTTTCGGTTCAACCAGCCAGTGGTTCGTAAGTCGTAACGTTCATCCCATCGTAAATGCATATAGAGAACAAAGGAAAAGATAATTAAGAATCGCCTCCAGTGCGATGTGTCTTGGACCAGCCTTATTAATGTATCGTCATCCGGCGGTTCCCTTCCTCCAAACTCGCGGGGTCACTGCTCCCGCTGGCGTTGCTCGCTCTACGAGCCCCGAATTGCTCCTTCAGCCCCTGGCCAAAGTTGAGAGTGCATATCAACGCGTTGAAAAAAGTCGCGATGATGAGGCTGATGGCAACAATAGCGAACGTGGCCAATGGCATCTTGACAGCACGGTAATAAAACTGCCAGTCGTTCGAGAAAAGCCTTGCCAGTTTGAAGATGAAGTAGATCAATGCCCCGAGATAGAGAAACATGGTCGCTACCATTCCCCATTTCTTTTCATAGTGTGTGGAATACCCAGCAGCGATGAGAATGGCAATTGTGACGGGGATCGCGGCGATGGTGAGGCCAAACTCTGGATCCCACTTCTTCGTAACGACTCCGACGAGCTGGATTAGGAATCCAACCACGAAGAAAAAGTCGAACTTCAACAAGGTGATGTAGACCTGGTAGTAGACGTAGCGCTGCTTCATCGGGTAGTCGGCGCCGACCAGCTTGAGGATTGTCCAGGCAAACTCTTGATAGACCTTCCAAGTGCAGAACGCCATAAAAATGGTAGCCAGTGCCATGATACAAGGGATGGCGATGAGAAACGCCTGGGTATCGGCCAACAACAAGTTCGCGGTTTGTCCTTGTCTAAGGGCGCCCGAGCTCTCCATGACCTGCAATGACTCCTTGATCTGTTCTGCTTGGATGCTGGTGTAAACTGCTAGGACCAAGTTTGAGATGCACACGCCGATGACCTGGATGGTGTTCTGGGCTATCAGAGCATCCCATACCACGACATTTTCGTAGCAGAAGATGAACACGAAGAGCGGCAAGAAGATGGGTATCACTTCGATCTGTTTCTCGAAATTGGACTGGAACTGAGGGTTCAGACTCCATTGAAACCGCACGTAGATGTAGCTGCATTAGAATTGGTTGTTAGTAGTGTCCATTTGAGCAACACGTGTAGGCAGTGTCCTTACATTTCAAAAGCCAGGCAGATGGTCGCTTGGACCAGCGCGACAACAGCGAAAATAATGGACCATCTCCGTCGTATTAATCCATCCCATTCCGGATGGGAGGTTGCTGGAAGCTGCAGAGATGGCTTCTCGATTGAGTTCTCGCTCCGGCCACCAATGCTGCTGGGGGAAAAGGTGGGATACATTTTGCAGCTTGAAACAATCGTGAAGCACGTTTCGCTCGGGGTGGCCCCCGTGTAGTATATGAGGATTCGGCCGTAGCTAGTCGTCCCGTGTCAACATGCGGCGGAGATCGGGTGGCGATGTCGAGGGTCAAGGGTCGGGAGGCTTGTATAGCGGTCGGACGGGAAGGGTTCTCAAGGGCCAGCCGAGAGCAAAGATGAAACAATTAACATTATTTGGGCCTGCCGGCAGACTTGACGCAAAGTCAACGAGATGGAATGGAAGTGAAGTGCGTGAATATAACGCTTTTCTCAGTAGGCCAGGGGCCAGGTCAGACGCTGGCCATGATGACCAACAGACAGTTTTGTTGGCTGGTTTAGCGGCTCAAAGCGCGGTTCTGCTCACCGCGCGTCAAATCAGAGGCACAATTTGCAAAGTCCAACCAAGATAGCGCGCTTAGTACTGGTTCAGGACCCAAAGTCTCTGGCAGGGACGGAGTGGCAACGGGCCGCCCAAGGCCAGAGCAGGGATCCGGTTTGCCAGCAACGAACTGACAGGCTCATTTAATGAGCCCTGCTGACGTGGGACCAGCAGACTAAGCCTCAGACGTGGCAATCCCATTAAAAAAGCTTTGCGAGTTTGCGAGTGTTCTATCTTCAGGACTCAAGAAAGCAGCTGAAAATAACCACCGGGAGCTGCCTAAGTCGTAACTTACCACAGTCGTGAAGTTTTTTCCTTTTCTTTCTCCCTCGCCTCTCGTTCCGTCGTGTGGTCTGCATCCATACCCATCAACTGGTCGCGTGTCGAACGCGTGGGCTATGTCCGTTCCCCTTCGGTGCTCCGGTGGGACGAAAGCACTAAAATAAGCACACTCAACACAAAGAGGGAAAGATAACCCACGAACTGCCATGGGAGATCCACAATCTCAATCTTCCACCACGTGTATTCCCTAACTCTCCAGCCCACGGGCTATTTCCCAGCCCAAACGGTTCTTGCTGGTTGATCAAAGCGGACATGGCACCGGGCTGCGGCAGGCCTAACCGGCACAGTCAGCATAGGGCTTTGTCAGATTAGGGCGGCCGGACAATTTAGCGTTCAGGTGGTTCAGGTGGTTCAACAACTCTTCAACAGTGCGTAGTTCGTTTAGCAAGCTCAATGCCGTGCACCAAGCTCCTTGCCAAGGCAAGTGGTTGAACTCATCATCGTGCTGACGCCTGTATCTATGCTGGTCCATAATACCATGCAAATTGCAGAAACCAAAGACGTAAAACGCATTGCTAACGGTCTCGTTCCCATCTCACACATTAGCAGCCGTCCCTCATCACGGATGGAGTTGAGCAGCCGTTAGATACGGCCACCATATCTTCCATTTAGACCCTCTGGTATATAGTCGTACATATCCGCTCGTTGCATTTAAAAGGCTGTGGTTTGAGAATGAATCACGTAAATAGCTGTGACTGCGTAGATTAAGCCATCATTCATGGCTCGCGAGCCTGCCGTTGAGGGCCTTTGGGTCACCTCATCATTGCTATTAAAGTAAACATGGAAACACACTCATTGGATCTCAAGAACCCTATAAATAGTTACGGAGATCTTTTTCATGGAGGAACTGACTGACACCTAAAAAGGGAACAATATGCGAAAGCTAAGCGCACAACGGCTGATGCTAGAAAAGAAGATCTTAGGGAAACCTATTTCCATCTTCACATTGGTGTGGAACAGTGAGTACGGAAATGCGCATTCGCATTACCTTAAAAGCTTCGATATGATCGGCAGACAGTTAGTTTAGGACAGGCTATTTCTTCCAAATTGCTTGTTGATCGTGTCAAAGTGGGCAGCTATAGGGTAGTGAATCAGAAACGAGCAAATACAAAGGGATAACCGTAATCATAACATAGGTACCTACCTAGGTACCTAATTAATGGCACATGACTTAGGTCCAACAAAGTTCATCACTCTTAAAAAGTCTCTGAAAAATTGCCTAGGATATTTGGCAAGAAAAACTTATAGAAGCACTAGTAAGGTAGAGAAGTGGTACATGCATGTAAAGCTTTCAGTAATGGATAGGATTTGGCAATCAAAAGGAATGCAACTATTGTCGAAGCACGTTTCATATAATGCGGAAAAAAAAAGAAGAAGAAAAAGACGTTTTTGCTCGCCACTGTGTAAGGACGTCAATGATACACTCGGTGGGAGGTGTAGAGAATTGACTGGCAGTACCGCGAGCGCAAAGTGCTTTTCTTTGGTCTATCAATACCATTAGGGGTTTGGGAAGCTCCGCACTTCACATCAAGGCCTATAGCGTACACACTCTTGCATAGTATATGATATGACAACAGAGCTACAGTCCTGAACTTTACTTGGCATGCTAAGATTTTTAAGGCAACATCGCATATATGTTTCTGTAGCTACAAGTGAATAAAAGTTTCTTGTCCTCTGAGAGGAATATGCCGGCGTGACACAATCATATACTCACAAACTACTGTGTATCTAGACAGCCCCTATTGGCAAGATATGAAATTGACTTGTTGATGATGATGATACTCACACACACCGAAGTTCAACGCGTCTGTGAATTATTATCATGTTCCAGCACAATTTCCATGGGTCTTCACACTCAATGACGAATTTCAGGTTATAGTGACTCTGAAGAAAAACAAGATAATTCGCATACATGTAGACTTAATCATTATTATCTAAAGGACAAAGCCCCAGGCTGAATCTGATGAATCTCAGCAGACCGAACTGTGGTATAAATAGGAGATACCGCCCTGGATAATATTTCTAGCTACATAAACCAGTCTGCTCTCAACCATCTAGTCGTAATCGAAAGTCTTACCAAGAACAGAACCAAAGCTTAAGCCTGTGCTAGTACAGGTACCATTTCGGCTACCTTTCCTATCAAACCCTGTTCTAAAATGGATATAAAAGAGTACAGAGCGGCAGCGACGCGGATTGTCCAAGAAGTGATCCAAAATCGAAACAAGTACTGCGAAGCCTTTAAGGAAATGGACGAGATTAGCAAGGAGAGGGATGGCTTAAATGAGAGGGTGAACAAGGTGAAATTGAGAAGGCATGGGAGGAGATGAGGAGGGCTCAAATCGCCGCGAGAATGACGGAGCTCCGGGAGCTAAGCGATGACTTGTTCGATAAAAATCAGAAACTA